GATTAACACCAAAAACCAAGGTGGATAGCTGGACTCTGAGGATTCCCCCCTGATTTCAAAATGTATTGGAACTGAATTGAGAAACATCACTGGAAGCCAAAATGTGATTTTTGTTGTTGTTGTTGTTTATTTTCTGGGAAAAAAAAAAGCAAATAAAGGATGGAGCCATACTAAAAGAAAAGAAACGAGTCAGTCTTTCTTCATTCCCTGGTCCCTGTAAAGACCAAGAAACTGGGCGCTACTTTTCAGGGATCACAGATCTGTTCTCTATCATCAGCAGCACTATTTCTTTACTCATTTCACGATTTCCAGTCAGAAAGTATACGGGTCTTGGTGGAGTGAAGTAGGAGTGACTGAGGGGAAGGGAGAATCACTGACAAAGGCCATTGAGTCCCGGGAGAGAAACATCCCAAAGGTAAAGATGCTACAGAATCCTAAAGAATATTATGGGCTTAGGGACCATGAGATGAAATTTCAGAATAAAAGCTTGGAGTAGTTTTACACAATGAAATCCTACTGTCTTTGTAAACAGTGCAATGAAGCAATGTGCCCTGGGCTCACTGGCAGTGAGGATAGAGAAAGGTTAAAAATAAAAGAAAGGCAAATATTTATCAAACAAATACAAACAAAGAGAAAGCAGGTTTGGAAATTTTAATTCCAGACAAAGCATAACGCAAAGCCAAATCCTTTTAAAGGGGCAAAAGCGTTGGCAAGAGGTATGATCCCAATAAAGATAAAACAGTCACAAGTACTTCTACACCTAATTATGTAACACAAATTATAAAAACCCAGAACTGTTTGAAATATAAGGATAAGTTGAAAGAAGCACAATTGTTTGGGAGGTTATAATATATTCTCAATATTTTATAAGGCAGGTAGGTAGAAAAAAAATTCAATAAAAGGAAAGTATATGCTGAAAAGAAATGAGTGATCAGAAGTTTCAACCATTGCTATTAGCCTAGGCCCCGGAAAAGGAGATACTGTTCTTCAACTTTAGAAGATTCAACACTGGGGCATCTGATGGCTATACCATCAGGCAGGGTCAGAGAAGTTGCAACTAATATTTTCATTGTGTTCATATGACTGAAAGAACAGAATCTTGTTGTAGGAGAAACACATGCCCATGAGAAATTCTTGTCTATTAGTAAATTCTGCTAGACTTGACCTTGTGAATTTCCAAAGTAGATTATATGAGTCTTGATTATCTGTGAGCTAATCTACTCATTTAGGAAAATTAACCTATTAGTGCATGGATTATATTTTGGAAACATTCAAAACCCCATTGTATTAATCAAAAAGATAATTCTCACTTTCCAAAGCTATGAACACAACCCTGGGATGGTTGGGAATCTGCTTGACACTCCAACTCATGGAATACTGTTGAAAGTTATGCAAGGCCTTTCCCGAAGATGGCTAGAGCAGGAAATACTCAGTAAAAAATGCGGTAAACTGTTATCCGGCACTGGTAGGATTTCCCAAGTGGCGCAGTGGTAAACAATCCACCTGCCAATGCAGTAGACACAGGAGACGTGGGTTCGTTCCCCAGGTTGGGAAGATTCCCTGGAGGAGGAAATGATAACCCGCTCCCATATTCTTGCCTGGAAAATTCCATGGAAAGAGGAGCCTGGCGGGCTGCAGTCCATGGGGTCGCAAAGAGTCAGACACAACTGACCACATGTGGGCACGAGGAGACCAAAACCAGGAACACTAAACTTGGTTTTCAAGACTAAGGATCTGTTATCAAAAGACTAAGCCCAAAGGGTCGTAAACTGGGTCACTATCATGGTAAAATGGGAAACAAGATGAAGAGAAAAATCAAAGCCAAAGAGTCCAAAGTAAGGATCATGAATGTCACCGGGAAGCCAGGCTTAAGTTTACTGGAACCTCAGCTGAGATTCTGTGGGCCAGTCACACTGGTTTAAAGATGCAGTATTCTAAGGCAGAGCACAGAGGATTTTCAGGGCAGTGAAATTACTCTATGACACTGTAACAGATACATGTCATTAAATATTTGTTCAAACCTATAGAATATGCAAAACCAAGAATGAACCTAATGTAAACTCTGGACTCTGGGTGATGATTACGTGTCCTTGTAGGTTCATTGATTGTATATCTGATGAAGGTGTGACAGTGGGGGAGACTGTGAATGTGTATGTGGGGGGGGGGGTGTTTATGGGAAATCTCTGTACTTTCCAGTCAGTTTTGCTATGAATCCAAAACTGCTCTAAGACGTAGAGTCTATTTCAAAATATAAATAAAGGTGCAGTGATGTAGGAAGACAGGCCATTGGTTATTAATGGTTAAATCCAAAATGGATAACACATCTTCTACTGCCAGGCATCTGTCAGCTCTCCCTTGCCCATTTTAGTATTAATGGAATTCAGGTCATAAGGGGTAAGAAGGAGGTAGCCAGGAATCCCTCTTGCTATGCCCAGAATTTGAGGCTTTCATATTATGGTCTATCTACATTTACAACTGTGATTGATACAAAGATGCTAAAAGACTTCCATCCTTTGAGAATATATAGGGGTTCAGATTTTAAATCTGTCCACAAAGAAAATACGTGGGATCTATTAGGTCCCCTATGTATCAAAATTTACTCTATAGCACTAATTTGCTGGCTGAGAAGGAAAAGTCAATTTGCATGGCTCCTGTCAGTCACATGTGGTTTGGAAATGCTTATGCATTCCAGATACATTCTGTGTAAACTGGAGAATCATATCCTATTTCTACTGGTTTGCACGCATGCATATAAGAAAACTTGTTTTACCACAGTGCCAAGAGAAAATAAGCAAAGAATTAGCAGCAGTGATCATAATTAATCAACTTCTTTGTCAAAATTTCACAGCTGGGATGGTGCAAGGGGAATTCTTGTCCCTCAGGCTCAGAGAGGTTGTGACTTCTTTTCTGATTTGCTTGTTCAGTTCTGTCCCATGGAGGATTTAGAGGTAAGGTCTGTAACTGTCATGCGATGTACAGTTTCTGACATCTCTGATATGTCAGGGCCTCTGCTAGGTATTGGGAGATACTGAGCAGAATGCCTACTGTAGGGAGTTCAGAGTGGGATAGAACAAGAAAATAAATAAGCTATCACCCAAAGAGATAGTTGCTTTTGTAGAGTGTGGGTTGCGTGCAATGTCCTATGGAAATAAGGAAGGAGCTTGCCAAAACTTCATAGAAGGAGGTGAATCCTGATGGTCGAGTGTGAGTTGAAGTGAAGAAGTACTGGAGAGCATTCAAGAAAGTAGGAACATTATGTGCAAAGCCATGGAGCTCATCAAGAACATGTGTTTCAGGGACCTGAAAGAAATTCTGTATGGCTTGAGGCCAGAGGTAGAGCCAGTAGAGAAAATAATTGGAAAACACATGAGAGAGAGGCAATCACTCTAGTAAACAATGTTATTTTAACAGTCTACATTCTTGCATTCATATTTGAAGATGTTTGCTCACTCAGGAGACTTAAAAGTCGCAGATGAACTAGTTAATGTTGCAATGTCCATTACAGAGACCCTATTCCTTCCTAGCACTTACAACCTCTGGCACATAGTTAATACTCAATTAACATGAACTACTATCACTGCATGTGGTAAATGACCCCTAATAATTTGTGCCCTGATGCTCGTCCTTCCTCTTGAGTATGGACAGGACTAATTGACTCATTTCTAATGAATAGAATATGCCAGAATTAATGGGTTGTCAATTCCAACATTATGTTATCAAAAGACTGGCTTCCCTTTGGGGCAGATTCTCATGTACTCACCCTTTCTGGCTCTCTTTATTTTTTTGGATTATTAGCCGTCATGTCATAAAGATATTCAGGCAGCTTATGGAGATGCTTGTGTGGCAAGGAATTGAGCCATGCTTATGTGAGTGTGCCCACAGCCAGCACCTATGCGAATGAATTTGGCCACAGATCTCCCGAGGCTTGCCAATAGCCACATGAGTGAGTTAGGAAGTGAATTCTAGAAGGCTCCACTTGAGCCTGAGGTTACTGCAGCCTTGGCCAAGAGCAAATGGCAACCTCCTAAGGGGTGCTAAGCCAGAGGCACCTAGCTGAGTTGCATCCAGATTTCTTACCAACAGAAACTGTGATAATCCACTAAATGTTGGTATTAATATAATTTGCTACAGAGAAAAAGATAAGTAAAATACTATATTAGTACTGTCTACCTCCTAATCAAGATTGGGTTTCTGGGATACCTAGGTTGGGCATGGTGGTATCGGAGTCCCTCCTTGATGATGGAGCACTGCATGCAACCCCAGCTTTTGTGACTAGGATCCCGATTGCCTGACACTTGACTCCTTGAGGAAACAAACTCTGTTACCTGTAGTCCTACTCAACTGTTTAGACCTTTCAGAGAATGAATTCAGCACAAGACACAGATTACTGTGTCTGACTTGTTCCTTGCCTCATCAGGGCCAACCTTGGGCACACCAACATTCCTTACTAGCTGTAGTGAGAGTCCAGGAAACACTACCTAGATGTCTGGAAACACTATCTAGATGGTGACAGTCACAGATGTCTACAGAATGGCACACAGCTCATATAGTCCTGATTTCCATATGTAAGTCTAATTGATTATATAGCATGCCTTAGAGACTAATTGTTAAACTCACTATATACACTGTCCAGGTGGGAACAAGTGGAAAAATATACATCACTTAGGGAACACTGAGTTTTTGGCAGGGAAATTTGGCAGTTTACATAGCAATGTTGATTTGGAGGCAGTGGTTTTATATGTATAAGAGATTTTAAGACCTAGTAAAGATGATCAATATTTACATAAAAATTATTCTCAGCTAAGGAAAGAAGAGCAAAATATAAAATGCAAGTGTGCCTTCTATGAATTGTTCTTTGCTTGCTTCTTATGTCTTTTTTAGTAGTTCTCAGACCCATTTTTAGTTAGTGAACAAACACCCACTTTATATACGATAGTATGTATGAAAATGATAGCAGTTGTTGAAACAGAAAGGGAAAAGGAAGTAAGGGGACTTTATACCTTTGTCCCTGATGATTTTTCCCCTGGTGCTCTGGGATGATGCAGCTGTTGGGAGCCGAAGGACTTATGTCAGAGGATGTCCTTAGAGCCACTGCCGAGATGCCCACCAACGGGGTTGAGAAATTCAGCAGCACTGATGTGGCATGGTGGAAGAGGACGTTTGAGTGATGAGTTATGTTGATAACCAGTGGGTTATGCTGGCATGACAGTTCATAGGTTCCTGAAGAGAAACAAGGGGATTGAATAATATTTTAAGCCATTTGTGTAGCATCAAGTTTCCATACCTAGTGTTCATTTTTATCTTCTCAATAGCTGTATGATGTAACAAGGTCTCAAATAATATCAGAGACAGACATCGAGCTGAATCCTGGGCCTACGGGATTGTCCTCTGGTGGCCCTAAAGGGATAACTGTCAGACTCACCAAGAGAGTGGTTGTTTCCACTGACATCGGTCAGGTAAAGGGTCACTGTTGGCCGCTGACGTTCCCCAGGTACCAGGCCATCAGATGCCAAGAAAATGAAAATTGCTGTGGCCACTCCTGGTCTATTGAAACAAACCTAGGCACAAGCACATACATGCACGAGCCATTATTTCCAGTGGGCTCTTAAGGCACATGTCACACTACTTTTATCCCTCTCAAATAGCTCGCCACTTAAAAGATAAGAACTCCCTTCTCCTTTACAAATGGGGAAAAGAAACATGGAGTAGGCACAGAAGGACAACCATGGTCTTATCAAAAGTAAAAACTAGCTGGAAAGTAGCTAACTTTCAGCTACTGAGAGTCCCATTTTTTTTTCTGAGACTTTTTACTTCAACCAGTTCTTTTATACTTGAATCTTTATTTACCCTTCTCTAAAAGATCACTCAAGAAGACCATTGCTGGAGACAGTAAACCACTGTATAGCCAGCCAATACCTCCCCATTTCCAATGTGAGAGACGTGGACAAGATGATCACCAAGCTAACGCTTTGTTCTCAACTGGCATAGCTAATTATCCTTCCCTATCTCCTTTATTGCTGTTGTTTAGTCACTGAGTCACGTCTGACTCTTTCGCAACCCCATGGACTGTTGCCCTCCAGTTCCTCTATCCATGGGATTTCCCAGGCAAGAATACTAGAGTCAGGAGCCATTTTCTTCTCCAAGGGAATCTTCCTGACCCGGGGATTGAACTTGTGTCTCCTGCCTTGGCAGGCAGATTCTTTACCACTGAGCCACCAGGGAAACCCTCCCTGTCTCTTTGTCTCCCCCTTAAAATTGTTATCAGAACCCCTCACTTAGCATTTCAACTATGATACAGGAGAAATGTTACTGCAGAGTCTGTTGCTTCAAAACTAGATGCTGCCAAACTGCAGCTTCTTATTCTTCTGGTGCCCCAAGCACAACATTTACCCTATCCGTGCCTGGAAAATAAGCCAGCGCTGAAAATTCATAGGAAAATTCAGTTTTCGGTAAGAAATAGTCTAGATGGCTAGACTAATTACAATGAAGCAGTCTTGTCCCTAAAAAATCCTTTAAAATAAAACATTTCATATATTGGGGAATGACCTGAAGAACTCATCTTCCATTATCTGATGTTGAAATTCTACTTTTGTCTTATTTCCTAGGGCTCAATGTTACTCTTAACATTGCGATACTGAGAGTCATCTCCCATCTTCCCCAGTGTTGCATGGTTGCTGCTTTCTTAGAATCTAGGGCTGGAATGTACAACAGTCCATATGTACTGCTCTAGCTTTGTATCAGGTTCTGAAAGGGATGTGCTGTGTTATGCTTAGTCTCTCCCTTGTATCTGACTCTTCGCAACCCTATGGACTGTAGCCCACCAGACTCCTCTGTCCATGAGGATTCTCCAGGCAAGAATATTGGAATGGGTTGCCATGCCCTCCTCCAGGGGATCTTCCTGACCCAAGGATCGAACCCAGGTGTCCCACATTGCAGGTGAATTATTTACTGTCTGAGCCATGAAGGCATCCCAAGAATAGTGGAGTGGGTAGCCTAGTCCTTCTCCAGGGGATCTTGTGGACCCAGGAATCAAACTGGGGTCTCCTGCATTGCAGGCAGATTCTTTACCAGCTGAAGTACAAGGGAAGCCTTCTGAAAGGGATAGAGCCCCCCCAAACACTGTCCTCAGTGTCAGATCAGGGTACAACATCTAAAGGCAGAGGGCTTTTCTTAAAATGGGGAGCAGGAGAGTCAAACATGTTTTCTATTTTAACGAGAATTTTTCCTTGTCCACAGACCTACTCTCCCTGAGCCTTGGTGGTATGTTTATAGAGTGTCCATTTGCACTGCTGGCTTAATTAGGGTGATTTTATGATTCTCAGTGGTTAATGTAGCACAACTCTCCCTTCTCGCTCTCCTCCTTTGAGGGAAAGACCAGCCACTGCTCTATTTTTTTTACAGTGTCATTCCCCGCCCCCTTTTCATCTTCCCTCTTTGAAGTAGTAAATATTTCTTTATAACTTAAAAAACTTCCAGACCCATAGGTTATGGCCTGCAATACGAGGTCCTTTGTTCCTGGCTAGATGAGGGCTAGACATGAAACACACCATAAGTTAACGAGGAGCCTAACACAAAGCCCTCAACTCCAGCCCCTAGACGACATCAAAGTCCCCCGGGAACGCCCACAACTTCTTCCTTTTCATACACCACAAAAGAGACCCAAGTACTGGAAGAAAGCTCTGGGTTGTTTCCTGAGCCAGGAACAAACAGAGCCCAAACAAGTACCTGGTGGCTTTACCCGAATAGGTCTCAGACTCGAAGAGTGGGGTGGCTTCAATGAGGAACAGGAAGGCTCAGTTTTCCCACTTTCTGTTGGGTCCCCAAATAGACACCACCCTCCTGAAACTAATTAGTAGGCCTTATGCTGTGGATTTCTCTGTCTTGAGGGCCTGTGCCCAAAACCTCTGACTCATTTTGCATTGCCTTACTCTAAGGGTCTTTGAATCCCAAATCACTTTGAACCTTAAAGCCTGTTCCTGTGGCAGTGGCAGTGTCTCTGTGCCTTGATTTGTGATTTGTGGGAAGTGGTTATGCCAGGATTTCCCGGCCGTGGCTTTAGTAGGAAAACCACAAGTGAGACACTGGCAGAGGAAAGTCTGATCACGGTACAGGATGCCGAGTCTTGGGCATTTCCTCTCACAGTGACACAAGAGAGGTATCCACACTTCATTCTCATCTGAATACCGAATATGCCCCCACAGGAGCAACTCAAATGCAAAGAAGTAGAGCTCTGTCATATAACTATTAGAACCTCAAACCAGAGACCGGTTCAAGTCTGCACAATGAATGCTAACCACGGTAAAGGAATCTAGTAAGTGCACCATTCCGAAGGGAGGGATGGCCAGGCAGAACCCTGGGTTTAACTCTTAGCCCATCTTTATTGTTGTTGTTTAGTCGCTCAGTCATGTCCGACTCTTTTGGGACCCCAAAGACTATATATAGCCTGCCAGGCGCCTTTGTCCATGGGATTTCCCAGGCAAGGACACTGGAGTGGATTGCAATTTCCTTCTTAGGGGGATCTTCCCAACCTAGGGATTGAACCCCTGTCTCCTGCATTGGCAGGTGGATTCTTTACCACTCTGCCACCTGGAATAGTCCCAGCCCTATCTTTACTAGCTGGGTAAACTAATTTTGACAATCCATTTCTCCTCTCTGAGCCTAGGGTTCTTCTTTTCCACACCTGAGGAGCAGACATACTACCCGTCTCACTCAGCTACTATGAGGATGAAATGAAATCATGTGAAAGCACAAAGATAATGCCTATGATCTAGTAAAGACTCAATGCTCAAGAATTTTTATTTCCAAAAAGGAATATTTTTTAAAAATTCTGTTTACACTTCAGGAAGAACAGGATAAAGAAGAAACATTTAAATTAAACACACAACTCTGTAGTTTGGTATATGGAGAATTATGCTTTTCTGAAATTTATAGGCTAAAGGATCTCACATACGCTGTTTTAAAATGGCACTTGTAGGTATGAATTGGTACTTCAGGTTTTGCTTCCATAGAAACTGGCAATATTTGAGGCTCTTGGTATAGAATGCATCTCTACTTTATATATGGAATCTATGAAAAATACATTTTGAATACATAACTTTTAATAGACATCAAAAAAATTCAGTTCAATATGTGTTTATTAAAAATATACTTTTGCTGTACATATAAACAAAGACATTTCTAGAATTGACAGTATACTTAGAATACTAAAATGCATTCTTTATTTGAACAAACATGATATTTTTCAAAGCTGCTCTTTCTACAGCCAAGTCACATCTATTTTAATTTATATAACAGTCTAGGCTATTTTTACTTTATATGAAATAAACAATGAATTTTGTGTTCTTAAACAAAAGTAGGTAGTGTCTAGAGCAGAAAATCTGGCAACACAAAACTCTGCTTATTCTAACCTCACACCACCATTGTCACTACATAAGTAAGACACTCCTCTAATCACCACACCAAATGCACAATGCGAACAGCTGCCCTCTTCTAGACAAAATACACCAGAGGCAGCTAACTGGGGACTATGCAAATCTGAAATGAGTACCAGGAATGACCCCAAGAGAAAAGTCCAAGATGCTAAGAGGTCAAGGGAATTGTTAGCTTTATTTGTAATATTTTATTGCTTGTTTTAATAAGAAAATTGCATTTATGTATTACAGGGCCATATAAAATTAATTTGAACATGGCTTTTATGAAGAAGACAAACTATAGTTAGATATCAAAAGAAGGCAAGATCTTTTAGAAAAGCAATTGATTCTCAGAGAGGACTGAGGAATGGCCTAAAGATAGAATGATAGCCAGTAAAATTAGCTCGGTGAATCTCTAGCAAAATACTTTGAAACAGAGAGAGTATGAATTAGATAGATAATAGGCAGATAGATAGATAGAAATCAAGTGACAGACAGAAATGGAAAACCAGCCCATGCACTCAGTTGCTTTCCATCCAAAGTCTGCACATTAACTGCCGGATCTGACTTCTGGCCACTGCTACAGGGTAAGACTGAAAGAATGCTTCCCTGGTGTAGAACTTTTTTGGGCTCAAGAAATCCCTCTTCAGTCTGCGTGCTGGGTACAAACACACTTAATTGACTCCTAAACCAAGCATCTTGATGTTCAGGTCATCCTTTGCGGTGGTCCCTGGACAGCAAACCCTGAAACTATACCACAAACTTGAAAAGAATCTTCTCTGAGGTTTTAAAATGTTTTTGGTTAGTTACTGAGATGTTATTTTTTTCTGTGTGCCTTTCCATTTTCATTCATCTATGGCACTTCCTGATTTCAGAGAGAAAGGGAAGGCCCTTGAACAGGAGAAAGTGGGCACATATTACTTTCAGTCTATAAGTACTTTACAGTTCCCCAACCATGCTTTACTGGAGCCTCCATTAAGCTCATTGGGTTTTTGTTCCTATTTGAGACATTATTTTATTTTATTTTTTACTATAATATCCCTAGGATTCAAAGGTTATATTATAGAAGTGGAAGGTAGGATTCTGAGAGCTTAAGTGACTTTCTCCAACGTGAATGTTAGACAGTTAGGAATTTGGGTTTTCTGTAT